TCGCGTCGGCCACAGACCTGTCCTTCGGGTCATCGGTGGCTGTCATACAGTTATCATTACTCGCAATATATTTACTGTCAGTTATAATGAGTAAACTGTTGTCGAAGATTACTTCACCCGTACTTTCGCTCATCTCTTAATTAAAAGTTTTAAAACTTAAGTAAATTAATTGTCATTTAAAACTCGTTGTGTCTCTCAATGCAATTGTATCTGTATTTTACATCGATGTATGTTTGCCAAAACGTGGTAAAGTATTAACGTTTAAACCCGTATTAATTAAACTAATCGTTAGTTAAACTCCGGGTTAATCGGGGGTAAAGTTTGCGAACTTTTATTAATAGTTATTCAAACTTTATTGCGTTAATCGTATGATAACTATAATCACAATTTAATTGATAATAACGCTAACAAGTGATCACTTTATGGCACAAAACACAGGGTTTTAGTTATTGTTTGTATGCATTGAAGGCTTCGTTTGAGACAAAATGGTATCTGTTTTACACATATTATACGTCACAATGCGGTCATACATACAGTCACGTGACTCTATGATACCCTCTCAGCCAATAGGCAATTGAATGGTGTCATTGCAAACCAATCATTCAATGCAATGATCTCATGGTATTTGAAAGTTTTTGTTTTTTACACTTGGTTATAGATGTCTACACAGTATGATTTATCTGGAATATTCGAAATTATTAATCTAGCTAACTTTATAAAGTTTGGGGCAGTAAAGGGACTGTTTAAAATTGATCTGGATAGTTTTTAACTGATTTAAAACTAAATATACATGCTTATTTCTCTCATTATCAATAATTTACATTAATGTTTTATTAATTCAATTATGTAAAATTAATCCAGGATATTTATATTGATACTATTTATATCACGTATTTGTATTGTGATTGCATTATAAGAGTAAACATTTAATTGTTTATTATATCGAGTATTGCTGTTGTCTATAGATATTGAAACAATCAATTGCCAAACGGACAGGTATTTTATCAGTTGATAACTGCCTTCAATTTCCTAATCATCACATGTATTATCTCATGAAATTAATTTCTCAATATATTTCCGAGAACTCTATACGGGGTATAAGTTTTAGATTATAAATACAATATGTGATATTAAAAAGTCTACTATCAAAGTTTTAAGAGTGTATAAAATTGTGAAATTATCATCATAAAACTACAATCGTGTGCACTTTGTTTAGTGTACCGATGTAGACTGTACACTATATAAAGTACCATGGTTTAAAATGTAATGTAATGTAATCTAAATTCTGTATAATTAGCTAGTATTGTAGTGAATACAGGGATAGGACTATCGGTGGTCACACCAAATGTTTTTAGTTGCATAACAATAGCATATATAATATATCTCACAATAGTTTTTGATATCATTTAATTAATACATTTAGTTGGCATTTGTTCAAGGTTAGTCAATTCTATGATTAACCTTGGTGGCTTTCAATGTAAGGCGCGTGTGTGAGTGGAGATCGTGGTGAGACTCCCAACTCGTGGCCCGCGATATCGCTATCACTGACAATAATTTGACAATAAATTTAATTTGAGTTTCTTATCGTATAATGAAATCAAATAATGGCATAAATTTANATCACTGACAATAATTTGACAATAAATTTAATTTGAGTTTCTTATCGTATAATGAAATCAAATAATGGCATAAATTTATCAAACAAGTGGTTAATCACACGGGGTTTATGTGCTGATCGTTTGGACAGTTTTGTGTCATTTCATACACTGATAGCGTAAGTATGCAAAAGGTTTTTAAGACTTTGATTGAAATACGGTATTAGCTTTTCCGATGGCATAGGGCTTATCGATAATTTACCATCGATAAATTAATATTTACAATGATTTACTAACCATATTAAAAGTCCCATCCACTGCCCACCCCGTTATCAAAGCCTTACTGGTGCTACAACTTGGGTACTGACGGTTTAAACACACTTAATAACGGGCTAAAAGTTTTTATCAATTATAGACAGCATAACAAACATAGTTTTTGATTAAAAGTATAATAAATTAAATAAATAATAATAAGTATTGGTACCAATTGTAATTTACTTTATGTAACATACAGTACATTACAATCAGTGCCAATACTTTTTCTACATACAGTATGTTTGCATAGCTGTATGAGAAAACACTTTAATAAATACCTAGTATTTTATTATTTGAATAATATTTTATATTCACTAATAAAAAGCAATTAATTCTTCACTCAAAAGGTAGTGATCACTGGTAGTGATTATCTGGTTTTTGTAAATCACTCACACAATTAGGTCTATTGTTTTCCCTCCCAATAAATACTTCTAATGCTTTCTAATCAAACGAAATTTCAAATGCAAAAAACCTTCAGTTTGTTTCAATACATATTAACTTATAAACAATTGTTGTAATAAATTACCGGAAACTTAAACCTGGATTTTATCGATTTTTACAATTATGAAATATTGCATATTGTGTTACATTGAAGACATACACACATACCTAACGCACAGGTACTGTATGACTAACCAAACCTACCGGGCCCTCAAAAATCTACAGCTATTGCCAGAATTTTCCAGCAATTAATTGGGAAAATTCTGGGACCCTTTGTATGGGTTTTATTATTTATTAGTAATTTTTTGTGCAGAATATTAATTGCTTTGAATATAATAATGCATTGAATTATCTATAAAATAATTATTATAAATCCATTAGACAATTAATTTCAAATAATAGCAATTATTACAATTATTTAACTCTCTGTGGGTTATATAAGTTTTTGCTGAGAGTGCTGATAAACTTACCACTTGCTGCTCATAAAATAATCTTTATTTTAAACAATGTAATTTTTGCAAACGAGTTGCTAAGATGTTTAACATTTATAAATAGTTTTTAAAGTCAACTATCAATGAACTAAAAACATATTTAAATTGAGATATTTTTAATCAACGTTTGCTTAAATATAATCTTTTAAATGATGCAAAACTATAAACATATTTCTTAAATGTTTATTATCGCCAAAACTACAGACGACTTACAGTTATGGGTAAAAGTTTGTAAATTATTTAATCAACAGTTTTTCCGATCATTTAATATAAAATTAATAATCAAATTAAATGAATGCTTAATTAATAATTAAAAATTTTATTACTCATAATGTTATTTGCATTTTGAATTATAATTTGCATAATATTTGTATCAATATATCAAACGTACAATTTTTCAACATAAAGAATAATTGTAATATAATTTTGTTTGTAATTATAATATTAATTTAATATTAATTATTTTCTGATTATAACATTTTATATAATATAATATATATTACAGAAACAAATCAAAAAGAAAAAACAATTTTCTAATCAATTACTAATTAAAAAAGTTATTTATAGTTCAAAAAAATATTTATAAATTAAAATGAAATGCGTTTAAAAAACGTTTACAATATTTATAATAATGTATTTGTAATTTATATTTATTTAAATATAATAATTAATGATAATATGGGTGTCGAGAGAGTGAGTGAGAGATATATCACAACAGATAGTAATTTACAAAATCATAAAATAATTTAATGATAATTAGAGACAAGTGTTTGTATGGATGGGTAATGTATGGGTGGATATGGGAGTGAGTGAGTGGTGTGGTGTCTGTGCGATGGATCAGATGAAGTGATCAGTGAAATTGTGCGACCAATTAATTTCTGGCCGAAGCGACCACTTTCTTGAAGAGATAATTCTTGCACCACTCGATCTCGCGCTCCATCTGCTCGATATGTCGCTTGCATTCCTCATTGTCTGTCTTGTAGTGTTGGATCTGCTCTTCCATCATCTTCTGTTTGTCTCTCTTAGTCACTCTCGACTTCTTGGACGCCGTGTTATTCTTCTTCCTCAGCGACTGATCCTTATGTTCGCCGGACTTTCTGCGCTTCGTTGCGCCCGAAGTGGACGGCAATGTGTATAAGTGATCGTTGATGACAGTCGGCTGAAGGAAATCCAGATCTGGTTTCATGTCAATGGCGTCGACAAAGACACCGTCGATGGTGTGATGGCTGCTGTCGGATGTGATGGCGTCCATCGCGTCATCCATGGCGTCGTCCAGCGAGACGAGCGTAGATGGACTGCTGGCGCTGAGCGTCGATGTGTACGATAGGGCCGATGGGGATGGGGTTGGCCTCAGGTATGCGTGATTGATGGTCGACAGCGCCGGTGAGTATGATTGCGATGAGGAATGGGTGGGACTCGAGAAGTGATTGATGGCATGCGTGGATGTGATCACATGCATCGGTATCGACGACTCGACACTCTTTGGCTGCAGGTAGTGAAGTACCGGCGCTGTTGTCGACACCGGAATGTATTGACTGTTGTCGAGCACGTCATTGGGCGCCACGACTACCGACTCGTTCTCCGACTCTCTAATCAGACCATTGATGTCGACATTGGTTTGCGACAAGAGTTGACACAAATTCATGTCTTCGTACGACTGTGTGTTCGTCACCGACTGTACGGTCGACTCGCTGTCCTCTTCGGCGCCAATCAGACACATCTGACTGCCGACGGGTGTCTGCGGTTGGGCGCCGAAGTAGCCCTCGTCGACAACAGTGAACGGATCCATTCCGGCGCTCTTCATCTTCTTGAAGGGGTCGACGCCGTCGAAGAACGAGGGGTCGATGTCTGGAGTGTTGATATCGTTCACGTCTTCGTCCCACGGAAAGTGTTGGCCACCATTGGGTGCAGTGGTCTGCGCGGCGTTGGGCGAGTACGAGGGCATCAGCACCAGCTGTTCCGACACGATATGGCCGCCCGATAGCGATAAACTCTTCTGTCTTGCGGTCAACATTTTCATTGCATTCAAACTTTTATTAACCACTTGTTTATCAATTATTATATCAATTAAAAACTTAGTAAACAATTGAATCCAAAGACTGTCTCTTAATGTCCAATACTCTTGAGCTGAAGACTATTGACTCCCGTATTGTTATATTTTGTATTGAGTTTTATGTTGTGTTTTGAAAAAGTTTTATTTCAATTTGTTATAAGACTTGCGAACAGTTTGTGATTCACTTGTGTTGTGATTCACTTAACGCTGCAGTCCTTCAACTTATACCACTATTGCAGCGCTGTTTGGCTCTACACTCAGCCAATCGTATTACAGTGACAGCATTGGCGGCCAATCAGCGAATTGCAGTGATATCACTGTATTTTTGTGATGCTATTATTTTTACAGTCGATGTGTTGTCTGCGAGAGTATGTGCTGTGAGAGCGAGAGGGGAGAGAGAGAGAGAGAGAGAGAGAGAGAGTCTTACCAGAAAATAGTTTATGCAATAACTGAAGCCATAAATCACGGACTTGTAGTGCCTGTAATATGAACTGTTGTGAGCGCTCGCAGTTTGGGAATTGCAGTTCAAGCCATCCGTCGCTTACGATTCTGTATATGATTTTCAATAGTATTTGACGAGAAAATTACAAATCAATTCAATTTTAGAGTTTTATATGCCTTTTTTGTTCGCTTAAAAACAACTTATATTATGTTTTTCTGTTCCTAAATGTCTTGTTATTCATGTAGTCCTCAAAAATGCATTACAAATACAGAAAACAACACAACTAAAGGAAAAACAGGAATTTATGTGCTTTTTATTGTACACAATAGGGAGTGAGTTATACTAACTAAAGATTTATCGCTAGTAAATGTGTGACAGTTAGAGAGAGAGAGAGAGAGAGAGAGAGAGAGAGAGAAAATTATTGATATATAATTTGCAAATAACTACCCAAACATATAATGTATTTATTGATAAAGAATTTAAATTAGAATAAAAATTAATGTATGTTTATGTTTGCGCTGACAATAAAAGCAATCGTAAACTATAGGGAAAAGTATGCAAAACGGCATTATATGGCCAAACCTGGAGAAGTCATAGTTAGTGTCGATAGCGTTGGACACCAGAAGCAATACGTGCGCCGACGGTATGCGAAGACAATTACATAAATAGGGTTTCGTCGTCTCCAGTAGTGAGACATAAGCGATGAGTTGATGGCCACGGCTTACGCGACCGCTGCCCACAAAGTCCGCGTTCAGCCGATCCTCATCCGAGCCGTGGCTCAGTCTCAACAGATCGGGCTCTGAAGCAAACACGCCGTTCGGGTGAAGTGTCACAAATGGTTTGTCCTTTAAATTCAATTTTGGACACAAAAAAATTATGTTAAAGAGAGTGAAAGGAAAGCCAAAAAAATAGCGTAAAGTTCATAGAAATAGTTTTGCATATAATTTGCATGCATTGTATGCTATAGTAAATTCAGCTATAATTATATCAGTGATAGAGAGAGATATATACAGTATATCTAACGGTGCGATACCTTTGTGTGAAACATTTGGTCGGCATTGGGATTGTATGAGTTGTGATCGTCACCGATGGCCAACTGCGGGTGCAGTCCATTGCATAGTATTAACTTCATTAGCGTAATGTCTCGATGTGTATACCCAGTGCTCGCGTCTCTCAGCGCCTGTCATACCATTCAATATACATAGCATTAGACACGCATTCAATACACTTTTCAATGGGCTTTACTCGGTATAAGTGGAGTCACCAAAGCTTATAAGAGAGTTAGTGAGAGTGAGAATAAGTGAGAGCTCCGGGAGCTCACATAAAGTGAACGCTAATATCCATCACTTTACAGATAATCAGCTAAAAATGTTTGGCA